TCTGCTGCTGCTGTAGTCGGTTGCTCCAGCCCATCAGCGCTGAGTGCCAAGAAGGCAGTGGAAAAGGTACTTGAGAAGGTGTTGATGGTGATGGTCGGGATACCGACGTGCCACATTCGCACTGTTTTGTCCTGTAGTGCTCGTTACCATCCCAATCATGGCAAGGGACACAGGCAAAAAAAGCGGGTCTGTAGCGGCTGTTGCTTGCCAGATGATGCTGTGGCCTTTCATTGATGGTGATTTGGCTTTTCGTTGATGGTGATTTGGCTTTGTTGAGATGATGATTTGGCTTCGTTGATGGTGATTTGGCTGTTCGTTGATGATGAGGTTGACAGTGATTGTTGTTGTTCATGCATGTTTGTTGTGTTGATAACATCTTGTCTTGGGTAATCATTCTTTTGCTATTACTACTTGGTATTTCTCCACTTCTTTTTTTTTTCGATCTTTTTTTTGCACTTCTTTGAGAGTGATTATCTGTCCTGATAGCCAGGACAGGATTGGATGGAATTGTACGCACCCTCTCTCCCCTTCCTAACTTCGGTGCAACCTCTCCTCTTGCTGTTCTTTGTCTGAAGATTTTGCTGACAGATGCTCCTGTTCGGACGGGCACAATTTTACTTGACTCAAGAAATGCTCGGCTCGTTGGGGGCAGGGTAGAGTCTTTGTTTCAGGGATGGGAGATGGAGAGGAAGTTGGCGCATCTCTCTCGGCTCTCCTTGGGGGCAGCTGATGCGCCTCAACCCCCCCGTTTTGAGGGGTTGAATATCAATGAGAGTCAGAGAGATTCGTCGTCAAGGCAAGGAGGAGGAGGTCGGGATCTGAACTCTCGACCGATGGATCGCGGGACGATCACCGGCGCGGTTGGTTCACAAACACAAACACAAAACGAAAATGTGCGGGTCGGTGGAGGGCGAGGTGCTCTGATGGATATCGAAGACATGGGCCCTGCAGTCGTCGCTGCATCTACAGCGCCTCATTTGAAACAGAGTGCGACTGCCCAAAGTCGGCAGCAGCACGTTGTTGGCCCCCGCGACGAACTACCGGTAGCTGATGAGCAGAGAAGGGGGTTGGCGCCCGTCAGGGTTCGACCAGGTGCAGAGTTGTACCAGGCACGGAAGATGCAAGATCGGCCAAGTGGTGCTTCCAGGCCTGTCGTGGGAAGGGGTGAGGCCAGCTTAGGTTTATTAGGTTCATCTGCTGCGGGCTCCATCGGAGGGGTTGGTAGTGGAGAGAGGGGGGTTGAGACTGCAAGCACCTCTGCTGCTGCTGCAGATAGGGTTGATGATGAAGTAGATAAGGTGGGGAAGCTGGGCGTGAAGGGCAGCGACGAGAAAGAGGTGAGATCACTGGGGGGCAGGCCGGAGGATGGCGCGGAGGATGCTGGGCCCAGGGAAGGGGACAAAGGAGGAGGACCCCTTACACTCGAAGAAAAACGCGAACGGGCAGTCCGGGCAGCGGCGGCGAGCATGGGCGCCGAGCCTTCGGTTGTGCACAATAGAGCGGCGTCTCTGAAACTGTTGGAAAGGAGGAGGAGCCCACGGAGGGGTCGAGGTGGAGGAAGAGGTGATCAGGAGGGGGGTAGAATGGGGAGAGGAGGCGGGAGACGAGGACGCAGATTTGGCCGTGGCGAGGATGATGACGATGACCAAGGGGCAATGACATTAGACGAGTGGGAGGCAAAGAAAAAGAGTCAGAACATGCAGTTAAAGAATCCTGCGCCAAACGTGATGTCGGATGAGCAGCTGGCTCGACGGCTGCAAGCACAGCTGCAGATGGAAGACATGGGCATGGGAGTGGTGAGCGACCCCCTCCCACCCTGCCCTTCCCTGCCCTTCCCTGCCCTTCCCCCATTGCCTCTGAACGGTTCCTCACCGTTCACACAACATGGCACACCATGTCTGTCTCCCATTCCCACATGCGGATGTTCATCTGCTTTGAATACTCCCCCCTCTCTTTAACAGAAGGAGAAGATTCTGGTTTGAGGGGGATGATTCAAAGCAGAAAATTCCGCACTTATAGATGGAATATGTTGCAGTCCATTGTGTTAAGACGTCCATAGGTTGGGCAGGTGTGCGCCGCCTCCTGCCGTCTCGTTCGTGCGTCTTTTTTGTTCCCCTATGTGACGTGTTTCTCTCGTTCTCTCACTTCTTCCCTCCCTCCCTTGTCTTCTTTCCCTCCCTTTTATTGCTTGCCTTTCTTTCTACCCTTTCTACCCGTTGCCTTGTTTCTTTCTCGAGGCCACCCATCAGGTGTGCGGCAGAGCGGCGGCAGCACGTCGCTGCTGTGAAAACAAAGACTGTGACTACCAATCGCCGCAGTTGGATCTCAATCGTGATAGCAAGACTCCCTCCAGCACAAAATATAAGTTGGCCCCTTGCTACCAACTTCACCCGAATAGAACGCCCCGTCATTATAGCTGTCTTTTGGCCAACTTCCAGTCTAAATATGGCGATAATGACCAGGTCTTCTATTCAGGTGAAGACGGTAGCAACATATGGCGAGGCTTGGCTGTACAGGTTTGATAAAGCAGGTTTGGAGGCAGTGGTGGTTGAAGGCTATTACATGCATGCGACAATACACTGTGACATTTACTGATCGCTCCGCTTGCCCATGCTTTCCTTTTTTTGCCCATTCTTTTTCAAAGTTCAGTGGAGGTGCAAGTAGGCGTTTGATGCAATCAATGCAGCTTAGAGATCACCATTGCTGAAAACAGTTTTAACTGACAGTGTGGTGGTATCTCTTGAAGACAGATCCTCAGAGATGCACCTTCTGTTTTTCAGTCGTTGCAAGGAGTTTTGGTTGAAGTCATTTTCTGTTCCAAATGAATGCCTTTTGCTAACCAGTTCTGGTTAAAAGTCATTTTCTGTTCCAAATGAATGCCTTTTGCTGGTTAAAACAGTTTTAACTGACAGTGTGGTATCTTTTGAAGACAGATCCTCAGAGATGCACCTTCTGTTTTTCAGTCGTTGCAAGGAGTTTTGGTTGAAGTCATTTTCTGTTCCAAATGAATGCATTTTGCTAACCAGTTCTGGTTAAAAGTTATTTTCTGTTCCAGTTTTGGTTAAAAGTCATTTTCTGTTCCAAATGAATGCCTTTTGCTAACCAGTTTTGGTTAAAGTCATTTTCTGTTCCAAATGAATGCCTTGAAAGGCGCAGCGTCACTCAATGAACACAATTGGAGGAGGAAGGAGTCTTACTGACATTGTGATATGTTTTACTTACGTCTTGCGGGTGGTGACATTTTCCAAAAGTGTGTTCTTTTCTGAAGGTGTTTGTGCGTGTTTACGCACTTCCGCTGTTATTGATTGCAGCTCTACTCTTCCCCTCTAAGATAACCCTATGGACAAGTGGAAAGTGTGTTGATCATTGAGAAAAATGAAGCTGGCGAATGTGTTTTAAGGAATCTTTTTGAATCTAGTGGTGATCTTTTCTGAAACTGTCTTTTTGTTTTTGGTGGGGTACTTTGGGTTGGTGTGATGCAGGGTAATGCTCGGCAGCCGCAAATGACTGAAGCTCAGGCTTTGCACCTTAGCATGTTCAACTTCCGGAGAGAAGAGGAGGTTGATAGCATGGACAGAGGGAGGGGGGGAAGACGAGGAGGACGAGGGCGGGGGGGAGGTAGAGGCAGGGGTGGCAGGGACCATATGGGTGGCGGGCGAGGTCGCGGGCGATGAAGCTGTCTGGATAGATAGGTGCTTAGGTGACCTAAATAGTCGGTTATGCACGTAGTAAGAATGGAAAATGCCATGCAACTTATCCCAACCCATACACAGAGGGGTGCCTTGTTTTATGAGTGCCACCTTGGCAGGATCGAGGAAAAGCGGACCCGCCAAACTCGTTGTCCCTCCCAGTTCATCGGCGCATCGCGTTGTCGGTCGTATCGATGATCCATAGCAGGTACCAGATCCAGGTCCCAGGTTTTTTTTTTTTTTCTGCTGCGAAGTTTTGCAACCATTCATTCTTGCTGGTCTGTCCGCTTGTTGATGAATGCCAGTCAACGGCTCGGGGGGGGGGGCATTTTGATTTGTTTGTGAGATATTTGTTCCCATCAGTGTCATTGGCATCTATCAGTGGGGTGGTTGGAGAGACCCTGTCAATTGCAGAGACCACGGAAAATGTATCGCACTTTTCGAGTTCTCTTTTGCAAATCTCCAGGGTCGTACTACCAGTTCCCGCCACGGTTTCACCCTCCCCCTCCTCCCAAACAAAATCAGTCTGGAACGCTCTGTTCGTTAAATGTCCCATGTCCTGTTCTGCCATTCATTCATTTTTGTTTCCCTGTTTTCTCATTGTTCCTAGGGCTCAGATTTTGTGTGACAATTTGTTCATTTTTTCCTTCCCTCGACCAAGGCTCCGTCAAGTGTGCAATAGCTGCCTTGCCTGAAAGTACAGAAAGAAAGGACCCACCTTCAGTGGTATAGGTGGTCTAGCTTGTGGGTAGGCAGTTTGAGACATGCGCAGCCACCTCGCAGGTTGACGGTTGAGACGCTGGTGGAAACAGACAAGGAAGATGAGACGAGGTTCAGAAGACACCTGGGCCTTCAACTCTCTCACCAGCACGCAGGTGACGGCAACGCCCAGAAAGTTGGTATTGGTATTCCTCTCAAGGGCATCTTTGCCTGCCTCTCTGGCCTGCCTTTGCTTTCTGCACACTTACCTTTAACAGGCCACAAGGGAGCACCCACCTCAGATGGTACTCGGTTACCTCTACCGTCTACCGCAGAGCTTCTCCCCCGGAACTTAAACCACCAGTACTTGGCCCAGCTATCGATGCCGAGCCTGAAAATGGGCTGCACGCCGTTTTGCGCCAACCGGCCAGCGCAACAAGTTTTGCGCACCAGTTTTGGCTGGCGGCGCCAGCCTTTCAGGGCCGGTACCCCAAGCCTCCGGAAGTTGCGGGGGGGCGTTAACGGCAACGCCCCAAGGCCGATGTATGGGCCAAGTACTGGTGGTTCAAATCACCAGTACATCTCCCAGGCAATTGTTTCTGCCTGACACGACACAAACCTCGACTTTCAGGGGCTGGAGCCCGCCGTTGCTGAACGTCATCAACAGCTCCTGACCCCCAACCCCCGAAGTCGTGGCTGTGCGGCATCTGAGCTTTTTCCCAGCATATTGGTGGCTGAACTCTCTCACAGATCCATCTGGGCTTAGGGTTTGAGAGCAGAGGGTGATAAAGCTTCAAGCACCCATGTGGGATGATTCGTACATCTAGCATGTGCAGGGAACCTGCTTTATATCTGTTTGCGTAGACAAGTCTGCTTCTGCTTGATCTGTTTTCAAGTCAAAGCAGTTGGGAATCAGAGCTAGTGTATAGCTTCAGTGTTCCCAAACAAGGCATTTCATGTCAGTGGAAAGGTTTTCAGAGAGCACATGAAAGGAGACGCTAGAGTGGCTTTCCTGTTGGTTGAAGATCCTTAGACCACAAGGAGATGGGGAACCAGTTGAACTGGCGGTAACCAAGACCAATCAGTTTGCCACATGGCCTTGTAAATCTTGTGATGATCCATGGCCTGTACCGAACCAAAAAGCATTCCCTTTGAACAAAACCCGTTAGGAGGCCAGAATTTTCAACGAGAAATTTCCCTTCGCAGATTGTCAGAGCAGATGCAGGATCCATCTCTGGATTCGCATTGCATGGGCATAATTTGGAAAATTGTCCTCGTTATTCTAGTAAATATGTGCCAGGTGCGATCGGGAAAGAGTCACGCAGAGATGATGATGTTAGTTGGGTCCCCCCCCCGCCCTCGTCACTGTCAGTTGGTTATTTTTTTTTGTTGTTTTTCATTTTTTACAAGTACAGTCGGTTGTGCAAGCGCATGGTTGGCAGTTTGAACTCGCACGCGCACAAGCTAGATTCCTGCCCGCCCGTTGGCCTTGCGCTGACTTTTTTCTTTGTTCTTCCTTCTCGCAGTTTCTTCGTCTCCCTCTCGATCGATTCATGGGTAATCGGTTTCATGCGGGTCGGCTGGATCAAGTTACGGGGGCGGTGCCACTGTGCTAGTAAACTTGACCGATCAACTTGAACTTGGACTTCCTGAATATTTGGATTAACCCCCCACCGGTGTCTTCTTGATATATGTTTCTCTCTCCTTGCTGCCTCCTCTGCCCCACCTATCTGTTTCCCTGTTATTTGCACTGACACCCCGTTGCCGTACACTTTAAAAATTGTGTACCCTGTTCCTCTCCTCTTTGATCTCGAGCTATGTGCGTAAGCCGCGGTACTGAACACGCCTGTTGTGCCGGTGGAATGGCTGCAGTGACTGCCTGGGGTGAGCTACTCGCAGTAGGATCGGTAAGTTGGAGTCTTAGAGGGATTGAGCAGCGGCAGAAGGAGCACGTGAGTGTGCACGTGCAGCCAAGGAGTTGGCAGTGATGCCGACTCGGGGCAAGTTGACGGGCGACGATGTTGTGCGCACTTCGTGTGCGTCGATATTTCGTGAGTTCATTGCTGGGAACTTAGCTCCATCATTGCTGCTTTGTCTTGGTGGTCTGAGTCAATGCATGCGAAGTCCTGTGGTTGCGAGTGTTGGAATGTGTTGTGAAGAGTTTGCATCTCTGTGGTGAATGCATGACTCGATGGCTTCTTTCATATATGGAAGCATGATTGTGTGTGATTGAAGCAATTTGCGAGTGATTGATCGTCTCTTTTCCCTCCCCCTTACCTAGTTTTGTTGAATTTGGACTTCTGTTCAGTCCTGCCTAGCACAGTGATCAAAGGACACCTGGCATGTATATGGAGTTGGTGCCAGGTGTATATGAATTTGGAAAATTGTCCTTGCGCCTTTGTATCTTTTTAACGCAGAACGGGGGAATTAATTCCCGTTGATCACTGTGCTAGGCAGGACTGAACAGAAGTCCAAATTCGAAGCATCAATTCCCCCGTTCTGCGTTAAAAAGATACAAACTCGCGTTTGAACAGAAGTTTAACGCGGGATGATTTTCTGTTCAGTCCTGCCTAGCACAGAAATCCCGTTAAACTCCAAAAACTCCTGTTCAACTGCGCGTTGAACTCCCGTTGAATCCCGTTAAACTCCAAAAAATCCCGTTGAATTCGCGTTAAACGCGAAAATGGGCCGCTCCCGCGCTTTTTGGAAAAACGGAATTGATGCGCGGGGTCCGGAACACGTCGCCCTAGGCCAAAAAAAAAAAAAAAATCCCCCCAACCCCTGAAGCACCTCCCATCTGGCCCCACATCCCCCAACGCCCCAGTTATGTGTGTGTAGGTGTGCTGTGTGTGTGCGTATCTGTGTATGTGTGTGCCTGCTGTGAGAGTGTGTTTGTGCATGAACATGAATGTATGCGCGTGTGTTTGTGTATGTGTGTGTTTGTAAGTGTGTGTGTGTGTGTCTGTGCTTGTAAGTGTATGTGTGTGTTTGTAAGTGTGTGTGTGTATGTATATGTGTGTGTTTGTGTATGTGTGTGTTTGTAAGTGTGTGTGTATGTGTGTGCGTAAGTGTAAGTGTGTCTGTGCCTGCGCATGAGAGTGTGTCTCGCCTTACTCACAACCTCGTTCCCCAACACACAGATTCCACTTGCACCCAAGGACCACCCTGCGCAACACCCAGCTTACAGCAGCGCAGCTCGGCTATGGCTACCTGCTCCTTCCTGCTCGCCCGTGAGCACATGAGTGGCACGAGCTACAGCGCGGCAGCGCCTATGCAGCATGCAGCCAACACCCAAATGCCCAATGTGGTGCCCTTTGCTATATCGAAGTGGCCTGCCTGTGTTCAGTCCCAGGAAGCTTCCAGTAGGCCTCGGCAGCCTGAGGCACAGCACGAACGAGAACAGGCCTTGGGCCTGAGGTGGTTGCATGCCCCCAACTGCCTTTGGCCTGTGTTTGGCCCAGTACCCGTATCCAGCCCACGGCCTGGTTTCCATACATTCACACAGGCAGCCCAGGACCTGGGTTCCCTCAACCAACTGACACCAGACTCATGCAACCTGCTACAGGCCTAATTTTGTGTGTGTGTGTGTGTCTTTTTTTCCTTTTTTCAATTTGCTTTTTATGGTTTTGATTTTTTTTAAAATACACGAAGTTCCAAAAACTAAAATAAAAAATACATTGCTGTACATCTTTGAAAGATCTACAACCCTATATTTTTTATTTATTTTTTTTGTTTTCGTTTTAGCCCTTTAAAAATCTGTGTGAAACCCAAAACAAAAACACTCGTTTCATTTTCGTTTTTGTTTTTTCATTGTGTTTTTATGTTTTTGATTTTTAAAAAATAGATTTAAGCATAGAAAAATAAATTTAAAAATACAGGGTTGTAGTCCTCAACAAAACCTACAACCCCATTTTTTTGTTTCTTTTTTGACAATTTTTAGCCCACGAAAAAAAAATCCCGGACCCCGTTAATTCCCGTCCAACTCGCGTTTGAACAGGAGTTTAACGCGCGTTGAAGTTTTCAACGCGAAACCCGCGTTAAATCCAATTTTGGACACACAGCCTTGCGCAATGCCCGGATCTCTGCAATCCAGAGCAGTCTTCCCGATCTTCTGTTCAGTCCTGGCGGAGTAAATCACGGGTGCAGGCATACTTCCATACGCCATAGCAGTCTCCCCAAGTTCTCTGCAGATGAAGGTGCCTTCTACTGCGATGCAGACATGAGTGCTCTATTGTGCACCGATCAAATTCACTTGTACAACCCACCCACAGGTTGTCACTTTGAAGGCAATGGGTTCATTGTTGATCGACTGTTTTGATTCCCTTTGTATTGTCCTTCCCTAGACGATATTAACCATCAAAGACGATATTAACCATGGAAAGAGTAAGACGGGAGGGTGGGGAAATGTCTGATCTAATAAAAAAATATATCCAGGAAGATGTCACCATACAATGGCAGACAATTAGATCTAAATTGGACTTAATCCACACTCAAGAGGATAGAACACTGGCCATCAAGCGATTCTCTAGGGATTGGCTGGGGATGAGCAGGGGGGTTGGATGGCTTACGTTCGCTGGGAAGGAGGCAACCACCCGCAACGGGGAGAGGAGAACCTGAGACGCGACTATACCATTTGCTTTACGGACTGGACCAAGGTGGACTCAGTGATCCCGTTACCCCCCCCCTCGGAGTTCCCAGACCCCTTTCTGCCTCACGGTCTTTCAATGGTAGATCTTCAGTGGTATGGGGTAGAGTGAGTGTGAAGGCTGCATTCGAAAGGAAAGACGAGAGCCAGATGGTCACGTAGGGCAGGCGCGCAGCAGCAGGGCTGAAGA